GTCTTCTGCTATTATGCAACTCTGAGTTTTCTCCCTGTCTCCTATCTGACATCTTATCTCTTCCATTACCTGTTTAACCACTTCTTCATTAAGAGACTTTATTCAAAAGATCTAAAGTAGTTCTGTTTCCTGACTGAATGTTTTCTTATTTTTGTTTACATGAAAATGCAAAACTCTAGAAATATTCATTAAGCAACTGCTTCATAACTGTAAAAGCAGAGGGAGAAATAATTCCTTTTCCCCAACTCTTCCTCCACTTTCCATGGAGGACATACGATGATGTTTTTATGTAGCAACTAACACTGCTCCATAAATAAAATGAGCGAGCTATCTGTGATGATATACATGTGAGTGTTGGAACTGGAGAGAAAAGCCAACCCTGTAGTGACACCAGAGCTCCTTCATCATATCTGGCAAGATCTGGAGCCATATCATCTGGGAGTGTGCAGTAAGATATGAAGGCTGAATGGGAAAGGAAAGCCAAGATCAGTAAAACATACTTTGTTTCACCCTCAAAGTCCATAATTACTCCATTCAGGTTAGCCAAGGTTAGTTGTGCATCCTTCTCAGCCCTTCTAACTGTTCTGCTCCAGCGTCCACAACAGAGGAGTTTCCCACCCACAGAGATCCATAGTCGATCTTCAGAGGTCTGGTACTGCAGACAACAGCAGTTAGGGGTTTTGACTATGACACAGCATTGGACATTTTTAATGATGGACCTGAGACAGTTTTATAACCTAATCTAGTACCTAATGCATGAATATGAATTCTTGACTAAGGCTCACCAACCATTTTAAGAATAAAGATTAACATAAAAATGAAAAATAAGGATGAAGATAGACTGAAGAAAATAGAAAATTCAGGGAGCAGGAAATCTTGTGAAAAGTCTAGTAATCAGGCTGGGAATGTAGCTCAGTGTAGAACAGTACCCTAGCATGCAAAACGAACTGAGTTCAATCTACAATACTGCAAAAAGTTTAAAAATTACAAAGTCTAATTATCATCATATTTAAGTAAATATTACATTATGTCACACAATTGCCTTCCAAAAAATCAGTAACTGGAGAACAAGAAATAAATTTTGGGAATCAATTATAAGAATTTTCAAAATAAAAACAAATTCAATGGATTGATAGTGATAAATTAGATAAAACTCTTTTTTTTGTTTTGTTTTGTTGAGGCAGGGTCTCCCTTTGTAGTTCAGGGTGGCCCTGAACTCACTATGTAGCCCAGGCTGGCCTTGAACTTGTGGTGATCCTCCTGCCTGAGACTCCCCAGTGCTGGGATTACAGGCCTGCACCACCACATCCTGCTGGATAAAACTAATTTCTAAGCAGGCAACTGAAGACAAACTTGAAAGGTTATATCAAAATGTAAACAGACCAAAAATGGAGATATAGAAGAAAAATAAGGTTTAGGAAGGACTGGTTTAAGAAGTCAAAATTTGTCTATTATGTGCTTCAAAGTGAGAAGAAAAAAAAATGGATTCAAATAAATATTAGGAAAATAATTCCCTGAGGTAAAAGGGCACACATAGCTTAATATGGAAAAGTTCTATGTGTGATAAAAGAGACAAAATTCAAAAGCAAATGAATAATAGCTTAATTTAGGTTCTGCTGAAATTTGACAACACTTAAAGAAAAACAACTAAAATGAATTGAAGAAAAATGATAATAGTAAATTGGAAGTTACACAGAAGTGCCAAGATTCAACACTTTCTGTATTCCAAAAGAGGTATCAGAGCACTTGAATATTTTTTAAACTTTTAACTAAACACAGTTGTCTCTTTCAAGCTTTTCATACATCTCAAAGACATAAGAAGGTAAAGAGGCTGGAGGAGAGGATAAGAGGTAAGAATTTCTTTAGAGAAAGCCCTCATATGAGCTATTCCTCCAAAGTTTGAGGAGAAGATACATAGTCTTAAACCCCTTGTGAAGCTCTCTAAAAGGACCCCTCCAGGGAGCCCAGTGCTTGATCTTTGTACAAGGAAAGGACAGCGTGTGTCAGTGCCTAATTTGTGGTCCATAACAGCAAGAGAAAGAGCTTACTAAGGAGGAAAATGTGCAGTTCCCTTCTTATCATTGATCTAGATATAGGAGTATGGTACCGGGAAAAATATTGGCCTAAAGACATTTCAAAAATATCCAAGATGGTGGCCTGGCAGAGAAAAAAAAGAACCAAGTAGGAAAGAAGCTAGGAGGTATACCACTAGTGAGAGTATGGAAGGGTAGCCCACCAGGATCTACTGCTCCAGGAAAGGGAACTCCTTAAGGAATGAAGAGCTCATGATAGTGTTCTTACAGCAATAACTTTCAGTATCTGGCCTTCAAAAAACTCTAAGCCACCACAAAGAAGTTCAAGACAAATAACTTCTCCGGATAGGGGAATTAGAGGAGGAGAGAGGAGGGGATGGGATTTAAAAAGGAAACACACTGTAGGATGTACATGTACCTACTCCTCAAGATGATCAGAAACTGCATGTAATGCAAAATTGTATCAATAAATTTTTTAAAAGTTAAAAATAATAAATTCTCTTCTTAAATTTCCTCCTTCTGTCAGTGAAACTAGAGAAATAAAAAAATGAAAGGACCACATACCACTACCATCACTATTTGTTTCCTCCTACAAGTATGTAGCCCAAAGAAGGTCCTTGCTGAGAAATGGAAAAAAATATCAAATGTGGGGCTTTGATATTGCATAAAGCTGGAAATATTTAATTACTGATATGAGACTATGTTTGGAAAGTAAAATGAACAAAGACTTAATTAATAACTCTCAGCAAGCCTAAAATGAATTTTCATCCAAAGGTAAGGGTTTAATGGCCTCCACTAATCAGCATTAAAGTTCAACAAGTCACATAAATAAAGTTGCTTTTATGATTTTACTTCATTTTCCTACTTATTCAAACTACTGGTATGTTGTACTGCATATAGCATTTTGTATTTCCCTACCAAACAAAAACAATCAGACATTAGTAAGTATTGGTATCCTCTAAGACAATAAAATAATACTATCAAAATTCTGGTGAAAATTAATTTAAATATACAACTCTATAATCAGTCAAATATTAACTCACTGTAAGGCAAAATAAGAACATTTCAGATGCGTAAACACTGAGATAATTTATCTTCATGGGTTCTTTATGGAAATTATCCAAGGAGGTACTTCAGAAAAATGAAAAAAAAAAAAGTAACTCATAAGAGGACAATGTGAGGAGTAACAAGAGCAGGTCAGTTAAGCTAAGAAAGTAAAAAAGGGTGGCTGGTTTTAAAATAAAGTCTGGAGCCATATACCTTTGATATTCCCTTCTCTATAGTTCTAGTTACAAATTAAAACTAGATTAAAAGATACTTTCTTAAATATAATGCAGTGAAATGTTGTTTTATGGAGTTAACTTTTAGTATCAATTTACAAAGGACAGAAAACACTGTTAAAACTACAGAAAAATGTAAATGCTATTAATAATGACAATATGCATACTAATATAACTCAAATCAGTGAAGTATTCTAAATGCTTATTTCCACAAGGACGTCAGTAAGCAGCTTTTAAAATGAGTAATGGACAAAACAGAAATTGAACTAAGCCATTTATTTTAATAATAATTTAAAGAAAACCATGGAAAATACTGGTAAAACTGACTACTCAATTAGGATGAGAAAGATTCAGTTCATTCTACACTTTTTAAGGCTTCAATTATCATGCTGGATAATTAATATAAAGTTTTATAAGCCATAAACACTTAAAGAAAAAATAAACAAGTCATTTTAAAATATGAAAGACTACCTTCAAGAGAACATTTATCTGATCAAATGAAAATGTTCTTAGTGACAATCACCACCATCACCAAAACTCCTTAACTCTGATGTGCTTCTACTTCAAATACCATAATCCATAAATTAATACTGATATTAGAGGAAATATAAAACACTAATTTGAAAAAACACAAAAACAGATTACTCTGTCAAAATCTTAGCATAACCTAAAGTTTATTATTTATTTTATTCAAATATTTTATACAATATCTGAATCCAATACATACCTTAGGGGGAAAAATTGGATACTGGCATTATCAAACTAAATGCTACAATGTGAATTTATACAATAACTTCTAGGATTACTATTACTAGTAAAAAAAGCTATTCTAATTATAAATACTTTATTTTAAAATGAATGCCAGATGCTAAGGAACTCTCTGATAACAACTATATTAGAAAATTCATTACCTCAGCTAGAATTTTACATAATTTGCATAACAAGAAATGAAACCTCTCAAAGGTTTTATGTAGTTTTCTTCCTTTTTCATGTTTGATCTTTTTGACCAGGCATTTTTAATACCATTCTATAAATCACTATAGAAGAATTCATGACCAGTCTGACTGCAAAGTATAGGTCAGTGATGGAGAATCTTTTAGAGCTTTCAATGATAACAAGCACCCCGCTGTGGCACATGACATAGGTTCCCCACCATTGATATAGGTACTCAATACGTCAGCAAATTCCTAAGTGGGGCATAATCATTCCATTTGGGGGGGGGGCACTGGGGATCAAACTCAGGACCTTGTGCTTGCGAGGCAGGTGGCAGAACCACTGAGCTAAATCCCTGGCCCCATTCCATGTTATTTTTAAAGACTAAGCAAAGTCAGAAGTTATACTATAAGAAACTAACAAGAGATGATCTGGGTGTCACATCTTTTTGACAACAGTGATTTTAAGCAGAAAAGTGGGCAGGTTTGCTGATGTAACCACAACTATGTTAGGGTACATGGCACCAAAGATTCCTTGAGCTGTTGCTGACACTAATAACCATATGTCCCTGAATCAACTAGTTAATGATAATACTTGTATACTCCATTTTTCCTCTATAGATGAAGAGGCTTGCAATATAGAACCTCTAAATTCCTTTTCCAGTTTAAAAGAAACCCTGATATTAAATGAGTATATGGATCTAAAAATCTGAGAGTTAAATATGAATTAAAGGATACATAAATCAATACCATACCTTTGTATTGTCTTTTTTCTTCGTTTTACATTTGTTTTGTTCCCTGGCTTCATGAAGATCTTTCTGAGTAGGACCCTGTGGAGTATTTTCTTTTTCACAAGTCTGATGAACTACAAAATAATTCAATTTATTCTTAATATTTATCATTTTTTCTGTAAAAATATGATCATATGCAAAAATATGCAAACCAAGGTTTCATTAATGTATATGTTTTTTAAAGTATTAAACTAATTATAATCAAACCAAAGTAAAATGGTTTAAGTGGGGTCTCAAAATGTAGTTGCAAAAATGCAGAGTAGCACTAATATATAACGTTAATGAAATGGAATAAGCCAGTTTCAAAACAGAGAAACTAATCTTCAATCGTGTTATATCCAAATTTCTATTATCATGAAGTTTTATGTTTATAAACAATGTTGAATGCCAAAGTAAAGAATAAGAAGTTATAAAAGTTCTCAAATCAAACTAAACAAAAAATGAGATTTTTAAAAATAGAATATTATATTGATACAAATTTTTATCTATGCTTCTTGCTGGTCATGTGAACAGAAAGGAAAAACAAAAACACAAGGTAAGATCCTACTATAGTGTACCACCGGTCTGGTCTTCTACTTCTCCTGGACATGAGCAGTGCTAGTGAAATCATGGCGGGGGTGACAAAAAAGTTATCTTTCTCTTCTGTACCTTTCCATATACATGTACATATTTAGGGACATATAATTTCCACTTTATTTCTAAATAGCAAGTTGATTTAAATTAACTAACAAGGTTATATTTATTAACACATAAAAGGAACAACTCAATTTTATGAATTATAACACTAGAGTCATAATAAATAAATAACACAAAAATGTTTGGATAATTTCAATCTCAAAGCTGTCTTAAAGAACCCTGGGATCGTGAGGACAAAGAAGCACATGGCTGGCATTTAGTTTCTTTCCTGCTCTACTTTTTCTTGTTCAGTAGCAATTCTAGAGAAAGGAGAAAAATTCTCAAAATAATCTCCAAGAGAAACAGAATGCTCTGTAACCAGTGTCACAGGACAGTTCTAGAAAGACATGTATACCAACTGGCTGCTCTTCAATGGTGTTACAAACCAGGGCCCCACAGCATCTAGGAAACCAAGGTGTCACAAAGACAGTAATTACAGCTTGTTCAAATACAAGGACAATTTTTTTAAACTTCTAATTCTCTTTTATTGTATTTGCTTCTTGAAAGGCCAAGAGTGTCAACATCATGTCAATAATTAAAAGTAATAATTAGCATCTCTAGCTCACCGACCTTTTACTACATAACAGCCAGTGTTTTAAACAATTTACACATATTACTTTGCGCAATTAGGTCAATAATCCTGTAAAGGCCATTATTTTTGGTTCCCTTTATATATTAAAAGGGCACTTTATATAATAGCATACACAGGAAACAAAGGAGAAAGCAGCAGAGAAAGAAACCCAGAAGTCAAACAGATAACTCCACACATATGAGATTTCATGTAATATGCATAACATTGCTAAGCATAATTTCACAAAAGAAAAACTAAAAGGCAAGAAACAAATAAATATAAAGACAACAAATGAAAGTGGAAAATCTGAACAAATTTGGCTTATGACTACACACTATAACTCCACAATCAAAATAAAATTATAAAAATACACACTCTAAATATTTTAAGGAAATAGTCAACACTTTGAACCTCTTCGAATAAAAGTTACAGAAATTACATTGAGCTAGCAGAGAAATAATGGTTCTTAATTACATTCCAAGGTAGTAAGAATAAACACAACTTCCACTCTCCATCAAATAAACATCATTTTACTAATACAAAGATTTATATAACATGTGAGATACGCATACATTAGGGTCCATGCTACTTTCAAAGTTATCAAATCCTGCACAGCATTTCCAATATTCAGTAACAACTTAGCAAAGTCCATATCTCCAACATAGAATCGCCAAGTTTATCATCTAATACTTGTTCATTACAAGGCTTAAAATACTGACTTGGTGCTATGCATTTTCCCAAATGTTACCTGGGAACAATCAATATACAAATACCAAACAAATACATCTTCATTTACAGAAATTTTATTCATTACACTTTTATTGCTAAATTTCACCTAATCATTCATGCATATTCACATTCCACTAATATTAAGTGAACATCCTCAAGTCTCTAAATAAATGTAGGAAATAAATGTACACCTTCATTTAACAAATACTTATTAGGTACCTACCTTTGCCAATGCCTAACTCCCTTAGAGATCAAACACAATTATAAAGAGAATTATTTAACTTAAAAAACAAGGTTTTGAAGAAAACCTTAAACTTGAGGGATAAATTTAAAAAATAAGAGATGGAGACACATGTAACCTAAAATAAGGGAACTAAGCATATATTTCATTGGAAATCAAAAAAATAAAATGAAGTTAAAGGGGAAGATATTTGAGTAAATAGTATTCCCTCAGTAAGTTATTTAAACATTATACTATATGCCATAACATGAGCTAAGATTAATAACAAGACTGAAAATCAGGATGAGGGACTTAGAGGAGAAGGAAGGAAGCGGCAAGGAAAAGGGAAGGGGATTGGGGATTTAGCTCAGTGGTGCCGCCTCCTGCTTCGCAAGCACAAGGTCCTGAGTTTGATCCTTGGCACAAAAAAAAGGCTGTAGTCTGTACGCGTACCCCTCCCCAAGATAGCTGTAAACTGTGTATACTGCAAAGATATACTGATAAAAATTTTTAAAAGTTAAAATAATTGGCAACTCATAATGTAATTCTGAGCACAGCATAGTCTAACAGCAGTGATTAATTAAAATATATGGAGTAATGAGTGCCCCGGTGTACTGTATATGTATAATAAGGAGCACTGTACTCTACTATTAATTTAGGAGTACCAAATTGTAGCATAATCTGCTTTACTACATAGGATATCTATTTTCTATGCAAAGTTCTGAAGTCAACTTTCACAACTCTTTAAACATTTCCAATTTCTAGCTATTAATCCTGAATTCCTAATTTCCTAAGTTAATTTATGATATATTAAAATATTACATATAATAAAAGATAATATACATGGAAAGTAACCATTTTTGCATTCAACTGCAACTTTATAGAAACCAAAGTAGTATAAATTAATAATAAACATAAACATAGCAATCCAAATGAATATATTTCAGAAACATTTTAAATGAAGCAATTTGCAAAAAATATGTAAAGCCAAAGGGCTTACTGTGCAGTTTTTTAGAAATATTTCATACATATTACTTTTAATAACAATAAAGCAAAATCAGTATCATATCTATATTTCTTAATATTTTTACTAAAATTTTGATTTTTAAAATTGTTTCCACAATACTTATTCAGTTTTAAATATTTCTAGAATGTTGATCACTGATAAAAGGCTGAGAAATCATAAGATTAATATTAACAATGTTAAATTAGAGGTTCACTAAATATTACTTTTACCTTTAATTTCAGGAATGTAAGAAATAAGTCCTCCTTCCATGCCCTTCAATGTTTCATGAAGTCTAGAAATCTAAAAAGAAAAAAATTCAAAGATTCAATGTTATTTACTGAATAAGTTTTAAAATGTTAAATAAAATACAATGTTTAAAAACTGAATGGTTGCAAATAGTAAAATTTTAATCTCTCTTGTATTAATGTCTATAAATTCAACAAATCAACTGTGAACTTTAACAAAAAGAAAACACGGTTTTAGTTAAATTTAATTTCAGAGCCAATTATTAATTATATTAAGCATCTGAAACATCTCTTTCACAGCATAGTTTCCTAAATCAAATATACTCATTAACACACTTTGATAATTATTCAGCTCTCTGAGAGAGATTTTTCCTCTGTTTCAATTGCTTCATCTTTATATCTATAAACTATCATTTATATCTATTAACTATGAAGTAATTATTTGGAAAGTTAAATATGAAAAGTCTATTTTATCCCCAAAGCTCTTGGTTCGTTCTACCTATATATAGTCCCTATTTTACTAAATATGTCTTATAATTAAAAACATTTGCTACCTGGGTGGCATACCATTTACCTTTGTTCCTGAATAAAAGATTTAAATTTAAAATTCAACCTTAAAAAGCTACCTCATTACTCATTGTATATGATTACACAAACCCAAGCTACCATCTATTTAATTGCATATATATGCAACATTTTTCTAATAGCAATATTTTATATTAATAGAAAATAAGGTATAATCAATAAAGTAATGCTAATAAAATGCCTAGGTTAAAAATATATTCTTAGAAGTTAAATTAAATTTTTTAAATAAACATATTTAGAATAGCACTAAGATGCAACAAATAGTTGTTAATAAAGTTCTGACAGCTCCAGCATGCCCCACACACTATTTCTTCCTGTTAACATCATATTTTAAGATATTACATATGTCACAAGAACAATATTAATACATTATTATGAATTAAAGTCCAGTTCTGTCTGGATTTCATTAATTTTTTTAATAATATCCTTTTTATGTTCCAGGGACCCAACCAAAATACTACCTTACATTTGGTCATTTTCTGTCATTAGTCTCTTGTGGACTGGGGCAGTTTCTTGGACTTTCCCTGATTTTAAATGCCCTTGAATATTTAGAGAGATGCCGGTCAAACGATATTTTGCAGATGGCCCTAAATTTGAGTTTGTCCAACATTTCCTCATGGTTAAAATGGAGTTACGGGACTTGGGGAAAAAGATAACAGAGGAGAAATGCCATTAATAACACATCATATCCAGGTGTTCTCTTCCAACAGGACTCAGAACTGATGACGTTAACCTGTATCACTGGCTAAGATGGTGCAGTAGGTTTCCACACTAAAAAGTTACTTTTTCCCTCTACCCACTATACTTCTGGAAGCAAGTCTTTAGGTACATCCAACACTTAACAGCTAAGTTATTAAGTTCAATCTCCTTGAGGGAAGGCAGAATTTTCCATACAGGTTATTTGGAATTCGGTACAGGAGGATTTGTCTATTCTCCCACACTTATTTACTCAATCATTTGTTTATATTATTATATAATTATAGATACGTATTTTATACTTCAAGTTATAATCCAAGACTATATTATATTAGTTCAGTGCTCAAATTGTTAACACATTAACACTGGAAATTGTCAGACTGGATCACTATAATGAAGAATCTAGCTTCATTTTTTGATGTTTAACTAACAGCTTTTAAGCCTTACCCCTGCTTTCTTCCCCTTGAGCCACACATCAGGGTAAGCTGTTAAGGACACATAGGTGCTCTCTCCTTGGCCCTGGTAGGCGATTCAGACCATGAAACAGCTTTCCTCCATGTGAAAATTCTCACCCCACCTGTAACTCCCAACCTCAATAAAAACCTCAATTCAGTCTCCTTTCCCTGCTCTCTCTCAGGCATTTCAGAAAAGCTTAAGGACGTGCTGCTCTCTCAAACAACTGAGTTATTTAAGGAATAAAAATATTCACATCCTATGTTTGTAATGGCACCATCAGTCTCAACATCTGTTATAGCTTGTGTCTAGATGTCCCCCCCAAAGCCTCATGAGGTTACAGGTGGGGATTTTTCAGAGGTGGCTGAATCTAGAGTGTGTGATCCTGGGTTTAATGGTGTGTGTTTACTAAATTAGTATTGACTAGTTTGCCATAGTTCTGGGTAAGAGTAAGGTGTGAGTAATACCTGCCCTAAAGGCAAATAGCCTTGATAAAATATAAGGGACAGAAAGAGGGCTAGTCTTGTCCTTTGTAGCTTGCCTTCTTGCTGACTTCTGCCTTCTGCCTGCCATGAACTGTTTCTCCTCTGCCATACCACCCTGCATTGTAGCCAGTCAACTATGGATTGCAACCGACTGTTACTTTTAGATCTTCTTAGTAAACATAATTAGAAACTATATATATTTATTGTGCATTAGAATCTTATGACTAAGAAACAATAAAATATAATTTATTATACATATATACTAATATGAGAATTTTATTCCATCATTTTGGGGTCATAGAGATCTAATTCAAAATATTAAAGAATAGTTTCAGTGAACTTGCAAAACTAAAAAAAATCAAAGTAACAGGTTTTTCTTTACATTTCAAATCTAAAAGTTATTTCACTGTTAACTACTAAATGAATGTGAAAACACATATTACTAGATTTTTATCATAGTACACTTTTACTCACTTATTGTAAAATGAATATCATTAAAAATTTTGAGCAAGGTATATGTTTAAATGAGAACAAAAGAAGCTAAATAGTCATTAAAATATAGTCTTTAATGAAGTGATTATAAGGAATCAGACTAAAAACATGAGACACTTCTTAATACTCTTGGCTCACACCTTAGAAGTTTTGGTTAAAAGTTAATTCTCAGAAGATAACTATATCAAACACTAAAAGAAAGACATTTTAAAATAAGCATAAAAACTGATTTATCCTTTGGGAGCCACAGAGGAAATTTTCATATATTTTAATATATTTTCAATGTATGAATATTTTGAATAAATTCATTCTGTGACTTCATGACACACTAATCGGTTCAAGCTAAAAAGCTAATCCCCATGCCTGCACACCCAATGTACACCTGTTAAGTATGCTGTCACAGAAAAAAGAGAGTTGAGTGGTAATAAACCATTTTGTATTAAGGGCACACAGACAGGTTCAGTTCACTAAGTGGTAACTTTGGCTTGTTCTAGAATAACACACCTAGAAAGCTGATACAAGTAAAATTATATTCTCTACCTTCATTTGGAGAATAAACTAATTGATCCTAGGATTAGAATGCTGTAAATTATATCTGACAATCATTTTGGCCACACGGCAACTTGAGTTTAGTAAATTATGAGTCTTCCACTTTGTTATAGGTATCAGATGCTTACAGACTTTCTGCTAACCCATGCTGCATTTTGGACAGAACTTATCCTAAGAATGGTGGCTGCCACCTCCAGTTTCCAATGACATCTGTAAGGTAATTCTAAAAGAGCATCTATCAGGTAACCAGTATCAGCACTGTCCAAAGTGAAACCTACGGTGGCAATCAAGAGGTGGTACCAGTAGCATCTCCTGTTTAAATCTGATTTTCTTTCATTGTTCTTGAGTCCAGCATGTGAAATACCAAATGTGGTTGAGAGAAAAAAGCTATTTCTAAATCCTAACTGTACTGCTTTAGACATTAAGGAATAAGCTTTTTATAGACATTTTCCATTAGGAAGTATATTCCATTGGAATTTTTTAGAATAAAATGGAATCAAATAAAAATTACTCTGTGAACACAGTAATAAGTGGAGATTGGCTGGAATAAATAGGGTTATAGAATGGCCCACACTGTAGAAGAGAATAAGTTATCCTATCCAATAATTCAAAGAAATATACAGGGCTTTGTGCATAAAAAAGGAGAGACAAGCAGTAAAACATGAAAATTCTGGTTTGCTTCTCAAGCTAAAAATTCAAGTGGGCTAGTTGAAAGCAAATGCCAAATAGAGCTAGATACTTCAGGGATACTTCAAGTAGAGTATACTTGCTTTTAGTTTCTCAGGGGATATCCTAGGAATATCAACAATCCCTTAAATAGCCCTTCACATTTTTGCATTGGGCTGTGTAAACATACAGTCCTCCCCCTCAGTGTTTTAGAACTTGACGGAAGGTGTGTATCAATGTAAAGAGACATCAAATACTTTCCTAATTGCTTATACCTTCTGCTTGGAGATCAGAAACCTTTCAATGCTGGATCAGACAAAGCAAATCACTAGACTCAGAACAATTAAGCTACTGATGTTAGGATGCTCAAGGATGTCATGTAAGAGACCAGGGATTTAGTAAAGCTGTCTTGGATTTGCACTCAAAGGAACCACTCAGAACCACACACCTTAGCATTAGGAATACGATCTAGCCAGTCACACTGCATTGGAAAGTGAAGACCGGGAATACATGTAGACTTCAGGCCATATATGTTTCCATTTCAAACATATTTTCATTTTAGCTACGTACCAATCACAAGTTAAGTAATTTATCCTTGTTTAATAGGTGAGAAAACAGACTAATATGTAAATGACCTAAATAAACATAATGCTACTTTACAGCACAATTGAGATTCACAGCCACCATCTTGAATCTTGAATTCTTTCTACTACACCAGAGCAGAAAAATCTTAAACCCAAAGATTGTATATGGCCTAAATATGTTCTCCATATGGTCTCTGATATAACCTCAGAGTCACACTCCTGTTAGAGACAGAGGAACTAAGGTCCTTTCCAGGAAGATCTACCACAGCAGATGAGTGGCAGACCCAATACAGAACAGGTTGCAGAAGTAGAAATGAACAACCCAGAGGAGTGTAGGCACTTGGTATAGGTTAGATGGAAAGGAGCAAGGAGAAGAAATTCTGAGAGTTTAACATATAATGCCATAAAAATTTAATTATAAAATTCACTTTATTCAACATTACTTACAATGAATTCAAACATTCAAGGACAGAAAATTAAAATTCTCGCACAAAAGACACTGAAACAAATGATATGTTACATTTTACTAGCTAAGAATTTCACTGAAAAGACAAAATATACTGGAATAAAGTACTCCTTAACAATAAAATTATTTAAATAACAGTATTACCATCATTCATGTTTTTGTAGTTTCTGAGTTTGGAAAAGTGAAAATCTTCAGAAAACAATGAAAGGATATTAACCACAGCTGCAGTTTTACATTCTCTAATAAACCATATATATATATATA